TACGGGATGAGGTATCACAGTGGGCACCTGTGACGAGCGGGGTCCCACAGGGGTCGGTCCTAAGACCTGGAGTTTACCTGTAGATAGTTCCGGGGGTCAACGCCCCCGCGGCCTGGTCTGTGACCAGGCCTCCTGGTGGATCAGAGCCTGATCAACCAGGCTGTTGCTGCTGGCTGCACGCAAACCAACGTACGAGACACAGCCCGGCTGGTCAGGAACCGACTTTAGGTGCTTGTCCAGTGCCAGCTTGAAGACTGCCAGGGGTCTGTTGGTAATCCCCTTATGTATGCTGGGAGGCAGTTGAACAGTCTTGGGCCCCTGACACTTATTGTATGGTCTCTTAACGTGCTAGTGACACCCCTGCTTTTCATTGGGGGGATGGTGCATCGTCTGCCAAGTCTTTTGCTTTCGTAGTGAGTGATTTTCGTGTGCAAGTTCAGTACTAGTCCCTCTAGGATTTTCCAGGTGTATATAATCATGTATCTCTCCCTCCTGCATTCCAGGGAATACAGGTTTAGGAACCTCAAGCGCTCCCAGTAATTGAGGTGTTTTATCTCCGTTATGCGCGCCGTGAAAGGTCTCTGTACATTTTCTAGGTCGGCAATTTCACCTGCCTTGAAAGGTGCTGTTAGTGTGCAGCAATATTCCAGCCTAGATAGAACAAGTGACCTGAAGAGTGTCATCATGGGCTTGGCCTCCCTAGTTTTGAAGGTTCTCATTATCCATCCTGTCATTTTTCTAGCAGATGCGATTGATACAATGTTATGGTCCTTGAAGGTGAGATCCTCCGACATGATCACTCCCAGGTCTTTGACGTTGGTGTTTCGCTCTATTTTGTGGCCAGAATTTGTTTTGTACTCTGATGAAGATTTAATTTCCTCATGTTTACCATATCTGAGTAATTGAAATTTCTCATCGTTGATCTTCATATTGTTTTCTGCAGCCCACTGAAAGATTTGGTTGATGTCCACCTGGAGCTTTGCAGTGTCTGCAATGGAAGACACTGTCATGCAGATTCGGGTGTCATCTGCAAAGGAAGACACGGTGCTGTGGCTGACATCCTTGTCTATGTCGGATATGAGGATGAGGAACAAGATGGGAGCGAGTACTGTGCCTTGTGGAACAGAGCTTTTCACCGTAGCTGCCTCGGACTTTACTCTGTTGACGACTATTCTCTGTGTTCTGTTAGTGAGGAAATTATAGATCCATCGACCGACTTTTCCTGTTATTCCTTTAGCACGCATTTTGTGCGCTATTACGCCATGGTCACACTTGTCGAAGGCTTTTGCAAAGTCTGTATATATTACATCTGCATTCTTATTGTCTTCTAGTGCATTTAGGACCTTGTCGTAGTGATCCAATAGTTGAGACAGACAGGAGCGACCTGTTCTAAACCCATGTTGCCCTGGGTTGTGTAACTGATGGATTTCTAGATGGGTGGTGATCTTGCTTCTTAGGACCCTTTCAAAGATTTTTATGATATGGGATGTTAGTGCTATTGGTCTGTAGTTCTTTGCTGTTGCTTTACTGCCCCCTTTGTGGAGTGGGGCTATGTCTGTTGTTTTTAGTAACTGTGGGACGACCCCCGTGTCCATGCTCCCTCTCCATAGGATGGAAAAGGCTCGTGATAGGGGCTTCTTGCAGTTCTTTATTGATGCTTTCTTTACTCTATATTCCATATGTTTGTCTTCTATATTAATTTCCTCATTTTCAGCCATGATGCAATGTATTAAATTCAACTTTATTAATAACACTGATTACAACTTACAACACTGATACAACTTACCTCTGAATAAATCCTAGCTACTTGAGCTTAGCAATTACATGTATAATATAAATTTTAAATGTACATTAATACAAACTTGGCTCATCAAAATTAATATTATACAAATTAATAAATCCTTGCCAGAATTTGGCATAGCAAAATTAATATACACATTAATAATTAGCTACACATGGCTTATCAATTACACATACACTGATATAAATCTTGGCCAAAATTGGCTTATCAAATTAATATTATACAAATATAAATCCTTGCCAGAACTTGTCATAGCAAAATTAATATTATACACAATATAATCTTTATCCACACTTGTCTTATCAATTACACATACACTGATATAAATCTTGGCCAGAATTGTCTTATCAAATTAGTATTATACAAATTAATATAAACTTAGCCAGACGAGCTTAGCTTATCAAAATTAATATTGTAATTATTATAATCCACTACACATTAAGTAAATTTGTAAACTTAACATCAACCTCCTTCTGTCATTTCACATAATTATTAAGTAATTAACTAATTAATGACTTCACTAATTACCTCCGGTTCAAGAAGGACCAACGAGCATATTAAATTTGGAAAATTGCATTTATCTGAATGTAACTAATTATGTACATAACAGTAAATGATAACAAAGATAATTTTTATTTATCAATGTTACTTAGACAAGTAGGAATCTGGGACACCTAGGTCGCAAAAAATGTCCCCCTTCGATACCTACCACTATCAACCACAAGTTGCTCTGGACCTATTAATTAAATGAAATATACATACACCAGGAATACTGGTAAATATATAAATTTGTGGACTGTATATTAAAAATAAATGGTTATATATATACACGATTACATAACAGAAGGAAAATATATCTTAATATCACTCACCAATTTGACTGGAGATTAATGTGTATCATACTCAGAAAACCCCACTCTAACTAAATCTATGAAAATAATGCTGGCCAGAATTACACACAAATCTAGAGAGCTTATCTGAGGTTCCTGGAGCTGTCTTGTCCAGTCGTCTGATATCTCAAGTTATGCAGGAATGCACATCCACCAATTTCGCCTCCTATTTGAGAGGTGTCAACACAATTTAACCTCTAGAGCACAAAAAATTCTTCCCATTACACCAACGTTTGTACAAAATTCAAAACCAAGATGGTGAGTCCCCTTCTCCCCAGGCTCAGTTTCCCATTTTCTATGGCATAAATATTATTAAATACAGTATGGCCATCTATATACATATAAATACTGAATTTCTGGAAAATATGTACAGTACTTTCCACACTTTGTTCATTTACTGTTATGTACATAATGATACATTCAGATAAATGTAATTTTCCACAACCCTTATAGAGAATAAGCTTGATTTGATTTGATTTGACTTGATTTGATTTGATTTGATTTGAAAGATAAAATTCCCTAGATCGAGTCCCTCACCAGCATCAAGGAACCTACCTTGAAGGGCGTGTGGAAAATACTGTATATATTTTCCGGAAATACGGTAATTTATAGGTAAATAGATGCCCTATATTGTATTTTTAAAAGAAGCATGTTATCGAAAAAAAAGAAGAGAGACTCGCCATCTTGGTTTTGAATTGGATACAACGTTGGTGTAATGGGAAGAATTTTTCGTGCTCTAGAGGTTAAAATTGTGTTGACACCTCTCAAAATAGGAGGCGAAATTGGTGGATGTGCATTCCTGCATAACTTGAGATATCAGACGACTGGACAAGACAGTTCCAGGAACCTCAGATAAGCTCTCTAGATTTGTGTGTAATTCTGGCCAGCATTATTTTCATAGATTTAGTTAGAGTGAGGTTTTCTGAGTATGATACACATTAATCTCCAGTCAAATTGGTGAGTGGTATTAAGATATATTTTCCTTCTGTTATGTAATTGTGTATATATATAACCATTTATTATTTTTAATATACAGTCCACAAATTTATATATTTACCAGTATTCCTGGTGTATGTATATTTCATTTAATTAATAGGTCCAGAGCAACTTGTGGTTATGACAGTGGTAGGTATCGAAGGGGGACATTTTTTGCGACCTAGGTGTCCCAAATTCCTACTTGTCTATGTAACATTGATAAATAATAATTATCTTTGTTATCATTTACTGTTATGTACATAATTAGTTACATTCAGATAAATGCAATTTTCCACAGGGCGTATATAATATTAATTACATTGTAATGCTTTAAAAATTCATATCCTGAGTGTACCGTATTACCTGGAGTTTACCTGGAGAGAGTTCCGGGGGTCAACGCCCCCGCGGCCCGGTCTGTGACCAGACCTCCTGGTGGATCAGAGCCTGATCAACCAGGCTGTTGCTGCTGGCTGCACGCAAACCAACGTACGAGCCACAGCCCGGCTGATCAGGAACTGACTTTAGGTGCTTGTCCAATGCCAGCTTGAAGACTGCCAGGGGTCTGTTGGTAATCCCCCTTATGTGTGCTGGGAGGCAGTTGAACAGTCTCGGGCCCCTGACACTTATTGTATGGTCTCTTAACGTGCTAGTGACACCCCTGCTTTTCATTGGGGGGATGGTGCATCGTCTGCCAAGTCTTTTGCTTTCGTAGTGAGTGATTTTCGTGTGCAAGTTCGGTACTAGTCCCTCTAGGATTTTCCAGGTGTATATAATCATGTATCTCTCCCTCCTGCGTTCCAGGGAATACAGGTTTAGGAACCTCAAGCGCTACCAATAATTGAGGTGTTTTATCTCCGTTATGCGCGCCGTGAAAGTTCACTGTACATTTTCTAGGTCGGCAATTTCACCTGCCTTGATTGGATAATCTACTTTCACATTAGTTTTTTTTTTTTTTTAAGAATCTCAATTGAAATAAATCACTGGCTATTTTGAGTTTTCCTAGTTACACACGTTACTATGTAATCATCCCAAAAATTTAATTAGTACCCAAATAACCCCTCATGGGAGGTTCCTTGATGCTGGGAGGGGCTCTTGATCTAATGAATTTGACCTGTGTTTCCCCACGAGTCGAATCTAAATGCCTCTCATTCCCCAGGCGCTGTGTAACTCCTATAGGTTTAGCACTCCCCAGTGAATACGATATAATAATAATGTAGGTAATATTACTATTATAATCACAAAGAAGCGGTAAACCCACTAGGGTCATACAGCGCTGATAACGTAGGTAGGTAAATAAACGTGTTTAAGGTGGCAAGACGAGGAGGTGTTGGCAACATTGTTCAGGAGTTCCCCCAGTCAGCTGTTTACTGCCACGGGAGGAGGATACTGCTGCTGCTCTTCCATCATCACACTAGTGTAGCCTTAACTAGCAACCCTTCGCTTTAATTACTGCTTCTGGATTAACAGGCAAAGCCGACTTCTCGGGGGAGACAGGTAAGACGTGGCATCTGAGTCTGAATTTGTTTCCCCTGTCACCGCGTGTATTGTTGCAGCTGTTGTACCTTAGTCATGTCCTGTTGTGAGGTTTGGTGATGCAGCATTGAGTGGTGCATTACTTGTGTGGCAAACAAGGAAGAGTGTAGAACAAGCAGGGAATAAACAAGGGTGTAGAACAAGAAGGGAATAAACAAGGATGTAGAACAAGCAGGGATGTAGAACAAACAAGGATTTAGAGTAAGCAAGGAAGAGTAGCGCAAGCAGGGATGAGGAGCAAGCAAGGAAGTGTAGAGCAAACAAAGTTGTAGAGATTGGAAAAATAAAGCAAACAAGTGTAGTACAAGCAGGGTTGAAGAGCAAGCACGAGTATAGAGCAAGCAAGGATATAGAACAAGCAAGGCTGCATAGCAAGCAAGGGCACAGGGCCAGCAAGGATACAGAACAAGTAAGGGTGTAGAGCCAAATAGCGGAGTAGTTGACTGGAGTTAGTTTGGTGACACATACACATCACTGTTTACCATCCTCCTGGAAACAGTGACGTAGTAGTGACGTCAGCGGTTCTGGTGCAAGAGTCAACCAAGGCCACAGTGTATATTATTAGTAAGTTTATTTAGGTACAGGGACACACAAGTACAATTATCATACCTAGCAACGTGTGTAAATTACCTAGGATAAAAAAAACGCTAAACTCGCATGGACAGACAGAGGACAGAGGAGGTCAGGTCAGGTCACGCGCGGACCCAGGCTACCGCCTGGGATGGTGCGATCAGTGTTCAGAGTCGATCACTCAGTGTTCAGAGTGACTCACGCCGAGAGCGAGAGAGATTGCTGCAGCAGCAGCAGACGTGGACGTTTGAGTAGCAGCGAGCCGACGGTGCGTACGTGCGTGTAGCACCGGGTGGCGAGCTTGCCGCGGCCTGAGCGCCTCTGCGATTGGTCACCGCGTTGACCAATCAACGACGCCTCTACCGCGAGCACATGAGAATATTTTAGACATCCCTACGATCCCCGTTGGGGAGGGGAACACTGCTACCCACGATGTATTACTCTAATAGAGTAAAGATTCAGCCAGCGAGTGGAACAATCAACGACTCAACTAAGCTAGCACTTGCATCTGTCGTTAGTGGCAGACTGCATGTTAAGTGCAATGTGATTCTATCACTCAAAGAAGCCTTCATTGTCGTCTGTACTGACGACACTGAAGCCGAGAAACTACTCACCACTACTGCTGTCTCCACGCTACAAGATCATGGATTCTCTGTTTTGAATTCCCCAGCACTGAGGGCCAGAAGAACTGTGTTCCTCAGGAGACTCGACAGACTCATCACTACACAAACTACTGAAGAGATCAAGTTGTCCATTGAAGCACAGAATTCCTGGGCCAAGGTTGAATTTCTTACCAAGATACCCAACGCCTCCTCCATGCTGAAGGTCACCTTCAGTGACGTCAACATGGCAGCCAGAGCCCTCGCTGAGGGCCTGGCTATACACTACTTCCATATCAACCCAGCCTTCATTGAAGCAGAAAAATACCAACAAATCCCACAGTGCTATAACTGTTACTCATACCAGCATATCACCAAAAACTGCCCTGACAAAGACAAGAAGTACGGCTCCACCTGTGGCCTTGAGGGCCACGACTTCAGGAATTGCACTACTGCTTCCCCACCACAATGCTTGAACTGCAAGGATGACCATCATACTCTTGCTGCCAGGTGCCCTATCAGAAGGGACATAGTCAAGAAACAACAGCTACAACAAAAGCATAAACCACAAGCATCCACATATTCTGCTATTGCCAAGATTCAAGCAGACACTACCAAGATCCTACAAGCCACGCAAGCTGCTCCTACTACCTTCCTCACACCACCTGCTGCCGATCCCACCAAGATCCTATGTTGCATCATGTATGCTCATGTGCAGAATGCAGCTGTGCCTGGCTCATTCAACTCCACCATCAATGAAGTATTCAAACTCAACAACATGCCTGAACTCACATTCCCTGCATCTCCACCTTCCACTGAGATCCTCCAAACCACTGCAAATATTGCCAGCTTAACTGCTGTGCCACCACTGTCACAACCTACACCTGACATGGAGATGGACCAGTCTGAGACTCCTGATACGGCGGTGAATTCCACCAATGAAAGTCCACCACCTCCTGCCTCCACCACCACCACAACTGTCCAAGCCGAGGCCTTGCCTCGAACAACTCAACCGCCATCCAAGAAAGCTAAAATGCAAGAAGCAAGTGCTGCAACTCCCCACACCGCTACCACTGTTACACCACACCAGGGAGTCAAGGCCAAGAATCACAAAACTCAAGAACCAAGAACTGCAGCTCCCCAGGCCGCTGTCAATCCCCCACGGCAACAAGAAACCACGGGCAAGAGTGGTGGACACTGCATACACAACCAGAAGAAGAACCCAATACAAATTCCAGAACGTGGGCAGGATAACAAAGACACTGTGAATCCTCACATACACGAATTTGCCAAGGAACTCCTCACTGCCGTCAAACTTGGTGGAATCCAGGCAATCGACCCTGTAGCACTGAGGAACAGGTTTAATCAGATTGTTGAAGAGGATCCCCGCTTCTAGCACCACCGTCAAGACAAGTTCCCCCAGCACTTTGCTGCCTGCTAAAGCTGGGGTGTGGCTCCAATCGACCCTGTTTTCTGCCTCTGCCCAACTGTGACAACGAAGATCCCAAGCAAGAAGACACTCCCCACTTGTGGAGTCCATGCAAGATAGAAGAAGAAGTTACCCTCCAACCGGAGGGCCCAAGAGAGAAGATAGAAGAATGAAGAAGACGAACGACACCCCCGCCTCGGGGGCCACCGCCGGGTCACCAGCTGGAGAAGACCCGGGCCGGAAGTACCGGCAAACATCTAAGAAGAAGAAGAAGAACTCGCATGGATCATGCACCCCCGTATTGTAAATACCAACCTATTCTTATTTTAGTACCCTAATTGTCTTACGTGATTTGCAAAGTAAATTTCTTAATGTTCCTTGTAAATATACAAATGTTGGGCAAGGGTACATTAATCTATAAAAGCGAATTTAGCCACACAAGCATAAAAAAAATGCAGCAGCATGTCTGGCAACGACGTGGTTAAAAACAGGAATCGCTCAAAATCTGGTGGTTTCAAACACCAGATTTGAGTATAATTAGTGCCTTTCTTTTGTGCCTGCTATTTTACTCATACATCTACCCATGTCTACATTATCTGTATGACTCAAGGTAATAAAACATTATCATTATATGCACCCCTCAAGGGAGGTTCCTGGACGCTGGTGAGGGGCTCTTGATCTAGGGAATTGGATCTGTGCTCCGGTTCCCTGAATACCTTCCATTCCCCCCACATGCGCTGTATAATCCTACGAGATAGAGCTCCTCCATGATTATAATAATTATTATATGCAGATTTATATACATTAAATCTCGTGAAATATCTCGGGCATGTTGGCATGTAATTATGTAGGTACTGCAAATACAGTATCAGTATATAGACAATTCACAAAACGCTAAAGCAGTTTATTGATACACATAATATGCATACTTGTGTATGTTTATATAGCTCGGTATGTACAAGTCATTGGGCTCATGACGCAATGAAGATTAGGTTGGGGGGTTGATAAGGGTCACTACAGCATACGCTGTATTGAGACATCCCTTCCAGTGACTGGGGAAATAAATATTAGCCACAGCTTTTTTTTTTGGTGGGGGGGGTCTAAGAGGAAATAGCTGAATACGTGCAATAATGGAAGCGAGAAAAAACTCTCCCCACATAGAAAAAGAAAGACCTCTCTATCTAAGACACGGGCGGAGCTAGACTTCCAGTCCCTAACTTTATTTGGTAATTAGCTGTTCGGATATGCTGAATGTTGAAGACAGAGTAAAACAACTGAAGCTAAATCATGTTTATAAAATTGCTCACAAACAATGTCCAGAATATCTTTCTGTCAATTTTGTCAAGGTTGGGAACCAAAGCAATCATAGTACTAGGGGGAGAGAACACAACTTTGTAGTACCCACAGTCAGTGGCCAGGCTTCAAACACCTTTTATTGTACAGCAATAAAGGAATGGAACAGACTACCCGCACATGTCAAAGCCGGTCATAGCATGAACCAGTTCAAGAAGAGTGCCAAAAGGTGTCTGATGAATGTAGCTACAGAAAGGGAGGGGAATGATTTTCTATTTTTTAGTTAACATACGTGTAAATTTTACCTTATTCCTAGTAATGACCCTCGTATTGTAGATAGTCTTAATGACCCCCGTGTAGTAGATAGTCTTTTTAGTATGATAATAAGATGTTATCTTCATTGTAGAATAATAAGACAATATTATAACCTTTATATTATAATAAGGTAAAAGGACCCCAATGGAAATAAGTCACTGTGTCTGACTTTTTTGGGTTATCCTAGGTTCTCTACACATATGCTGCTATGTATGATAATTCTATGTAACTGTATTTGTGTATACCTGAATAAACTTACTTACTTACTTACCCTAAAGCTGCATACAATTTAAAACTGGGAAGGATGGTGGGTAAGTAGCCAATTTTTGGCGCCCCAACTGATATTCCGAGCCAGCAAAGTACGAGGACATGTGTCCTAAGAAACGAATAGTGAGGAATTTACCACTCGTACTTTTAGAGCGAGACTGTCCACTAATTAGGAACAGACCTCAGATAAGAGGCGTCGCAAGAGTTGGTGTCACCCGGGGCAGCATCTTTGGTGTCACCTCCATGAAATTCAAGGGCGGGGGGATGGGGGTAGTAAACTCCAGTTACATCACTACTGCATGACCAGTGACATGTTTAGCAATGAGAACGTTTAAGGGCCATAAACCGAACAGGAGAATACTTCTCAACTTTATTAATGATAAAATAAATAATCGTAGTAATATTGAGGAAACAAACTCAAATACCACTTTGAGTACAGCCAACAGATCCTACATTTATTCATCTTCAACAATGCAAAAACAAAAAAAAAAACGAAAAAAAAAAAAATAAAGAAAAACATTGCAGTATCAGAGAAACGCTAGTTCCGATTTGACCTTGATAGATATATAGGGAAAATCATTGATTTTGATGACATCAAAATCAATGATTTTCCCTATATAGGCTTATTTGTACTTTGTTAATATATAATAGGATATATAGAAACGAAGGATTCTTCTCTTATGTTGGTGCAGCACTGTTTTGTGTATTAATGTCACCTTTAGAGGCTCTATGGTGTCATCCCCTAAATGGTGTCACCCGGGGCGGCCCCCCCCCCTTACGACGCTTCTACCTCAGATCAGGTACTGAACGAGTTCTCATGCTAGTATTGCCAAGTAATCCTTGTACGTGAGAATGAAATGTAGTTTTTTTTATTGGACATTCAGATATTGTTGTAAACGCTTTTCTATATAATTGCTGCTTGATCTAAATGTCTGTTGATTCTTTAAGCGTATTTTTTTCTTTATGCAGGTTTGATTTGTACTCTTTAAAAAATTTCCTCCATAGTGAAGTAATTTTCAAGGTTCTCACACTTGCATTTCCGTCTGCAGCCCTTTTTTTGTTTGGTCGTATTCACTGGGAATTACCCCATGGTGTTCGGGGAGGGAGGGGGCTGTATAGGCTGTTGCTGAAAATACCCGAGCTGCTCCCACTATGTTTACTCTGGACGAAAACCGATATTCTCCATTTTCTTTTGATTCAAAAAAGCATAGTCTACCATGGAGCTACACTTAGTGGGAGGATATGCTTGCTTTATATTTTATTTAAAGATCCAATAGAATAAGCTCGATAGTCTGATGACCTGGATTTACTGGGATATCCGGGGTTACTAGCTCTCCTGGTTAATAATCCTAACAAAATCGTCTACGTTGGACTCGGACTACATGTAACAAGCAGATTGAATAACAGGTAAATAGATAAATGCAACAGTAGATGGTATGGGAATATCTATGAATTATAAATGAAAGACAGAGGAAAGCCAGTCCTAAACCCAGCAGACCAGTGCGTTGTCCACTGTATCATGGAGGCTCATAAGATTAAACCTACTAGGTGTATTTCTATACCACAGGGAGATTAGTGTGGAGGAACTGGTTAAATAAGTACATTTTCCTGCATGATAATAAACACGTGATAACAAAGAGCGGTATTTATCTTTTCAGAGCACGATTTCCAGCAGCCTCTCCCTGATATCGCCTTCGTAGTTGCTGTAGCAGTGTCCACAGTGGCTGTTGATTAGTGAGCAAACTATTACATTTTGCCCCAAAGGAGCGTATAATTCAGCATATCACATTAGAATAGACATGTGATGCTGATGGATAATCACTGGTATTTTAGGGTTGATAATCAGTGACTGTCTCTAAGGTGGGAAATATTCTAACATTAACCTAAACACTGCAGTGCTTTGGGGCAAATGAAAGAGTAATAAAACCTGACTCATAGCTGGAGTTCTGTGTTGCTGGTGCGACACAAGGCCGATATCGGTGTCTTGATAGTAGACCAAGGAAGTGTCTCGGGAAATGTTGCACTAATGTTCGCCACAACACGTCGGAATGTTATTTCCCAATCACACCGGTTCACTGTTGTCAATCACTATCACTCGCTTATGAGTTTCGTAGGATTACTCACGGTATTGAGATATTTCGTCTCTACACATTAGTGCACGCTGTGGTGACACAGTAACTTAATCACATACCGTGTACACTCGTGTTTGGTTTTACACTAATTAACTTAGTGAAGACTGGTGGTATTTCAATCTACCGCACAAATTCACTGTTGTCTTTGTTCTCGTTGGGAGATTTTGTGACGTATGTACGCTCTGAGTGCAGAAGTAAATTTACTTGCCGCCCAGCCGGCTACCCTACAGTTCCTCCTATGCACAAGGGAATGCTGAGATGAGCTTTATATATCTTCCTTGCTACATATTGCAACAAGAATAAACACAAAAGGGCCGTTTCCCTGTTTAGCCGTGGGCTAATAGTTATAATGGCCCTGACTACTAGACTAAGTGGGGAAAGAGCAGTGGCTCTTTTTAACCCTCATTGTGCAGTTGCTCAGAAATTCTAGCAAGGAGAGGTCGTGCATGATAGCGCCTGGTACATACATGTGTGTCTAATGAAACTGTTGTGGGAGGAAGTGAAAGAATATACTAGCTCCTTTCCGAGAGGGCTGTATACCTGGAGAGGGTTTCAGGGGTCAACGCCCCCGCGGCTGAGTCCAGGCCTCGTGGTGAATCAGGGTCTGATCAACCAGGCTGTTACTGCTGGCCGCACGCAAACTGACGTACGAACCACAGCCTGGCTGCTAAGGTACTGATTTGGGTGCCTGTCCAGTGCCTTCTTGATGACAGCCAGGGGTCTGTTGGGAGGCAGTTGAACAGTCTTGGGCCCCTGATACTTACTGTGTTGTCTCTGTGTACTTGTGGCACCCCTACTTTTCATTGGGGGGATGTTGCATCTCCTGCCGAATCTTTTGCTTTCACAAGGAGTGATTTTCGTGTGCAAGATTGGTACTAATCCCCCTAGGATTTTCCAGGTGTATATTATCATGTGTCTCTCTCGCCGTTCCCAGTGATTTAGGTGCCTTATCGTACTTGTGTGCTGTGAAAGTTCTTTGTACACTCCCCAGGTTAGCAATTTCGCCTGCCTTGAAGGGGGCAGTTAGCATACATATAATGTAGAGGCCGCATATTACCATAAGTCACTTTTTTTTCAAAATTGTGAAGGCTTACTCAGCCCTGTAACAACTTCAGTAAGTATTATCAAGGCTGGCTCCTCCTCAGGAAAATTAATGAATAGAAAAAGAATAATAACAGTCAAATATAAGCACTATTATTTAGAAATGAAAATATAAAAAAGTAAATATGAATTTTTGTCCTACTTGAAAGAGAAATGAAAAATTAAATATAAAAATATCTGAATTCAACGCTAATATATATAGTTATACTGGGGTGTCTGGTGGAAGTTGACACCGTCTTGTAGAAATTGTAGCTGTTACTGATGATGTGGGGGGGGGGGGGGTCACAGGTGTTGGTGACAACCCAACGACTAGTTCTTCACAGAGTCTATAGCCTTGAATAGTCAGTCCAGATGACAGGAATGCAGGTTCTTTACCACTGCAAAGATGAGGGGTAGTGTCCTGTACAATTAATCAGGTAGGTAGATCATGAATGACGTCTCATGGGCTGTTTCAGTCCGTCTCCTTCAACACTTCTCGTTGGTTGGCAGGTGACCCGATCTGTCATTCGAAGCTAGAAAGAGACAGGTTACCCACTGCTTAAGAAATCACTCTCCATGATAAGTGCATTATTATTATTATTATAATCAAAAAAGAAGCGCTAAGCCACAAGGACTATACAGCGATGATAAGTGTAAGATACTTAAAAAAAAGGTGGAGATTATCGAAAAGTCTCATGTGGAGCCTAAAACTGAAAGGACTAAGTTTATTATTGGTCAAAAGTGAAGCTTTCAACCAATATCCACTAGAATAGGAGTTAGTTTAATATGTTTATTATGCACCCCATACCCATCCTGTGGGCGGTAGTCAAAAGATTACAGAGGTACATAATGGGTCCAGGGACTGGGCCTCAAAGTTTTGATGGCTGAGCAAGTTACAGAGGTAATGAATTCACAATTTACAAAGGTAATGAACTCCAGGTAGGTCTAGTCACAATCATGACAAGTTACAAAGGTATTAACAGATTATAGAGGTACACAATGGGTCCAGGGACTGGGCCCCAAAGTTTTGATGGCTGAACTAGGTACAAGGTAATGAACTCACAAGTTACAAAGGTAATGAATACTGTAAGAATGGTTACTTGCGTTTATACATGGCTACAATCATGAACAAATTTTAGAGTAATGAGCAATTCACACTTCCACACCCGGTCACAACTGTAGTGAGTTATTGGTGCAAATATTGATTGTTGAGTCACACACACACACACACACACACACACACACACACACACACACACACACACACACACACACACACACACACACATGCACATATGTGGTAATGCTTTATTTACAGCTAGCAAAGTCAGGGTATTTCTCCAGAATGGTCTGTAATATACCACTGTGGATAAAATACTTAGCCATTTCTTGAACACTTCTGAGTGAGTTGTTTCTAAATTCATTAATTTTATCGCACTCCAGTACATAATGACGCAGGGTGTGACAATAGTCCATCTGGCAAAGTTTACATTTCCAATAGGAGCAGAGGCTTTTACTTACAGTTGTGCTGGGAGCTGTGAGTGGAGTGATTACTGTTTGGCCGGAGCCCCACTCTTCACCTTTCGGGGTGGGGAGAAAGGGGGGGAGGGGATAGCAGGAGCTAGACTGACCCTACCTTAACAAGCAGCCGGCAATCAAACTATCGTTACCATATACTCGCCCGCTTCTCCTATCTGTTGAACTTTTCCCTCACAAAAATAAATATGCCCAGTTATATCTGGAGTATACAAATAAAGTAAAAAAAAAAAAATGAAAGAACACAAGTGTTTTTATCATAACCCCTTGTGCCCTTAAGACTACTGTAAAAAAAAAACTGTTTGCATAGTATGTACACAAACCTAAATAAAAAACAAGAGGGCGAAGCAGTGGAAGGGGATAGGGGTGAAGGATAATTATAATCGGTGGTAGGAAGGGAGGATTATTATAATCAAAGGTGCTAGACCTACTAGGGAAGAGAGGAACTGTGGTAGGAACGTAGGTGTGGTGGTTGGAAGGGAGAGGAGTGGTGGCAGGGAGGAAGAGTTGGTGGGAGGATACCCAGATGACGACACTAGCTATGCTTGGTGATTATGTTCACAAACTACTTGTTTAACAACCAGACTGATGCAATACAGTAGTAACTGTGTTCACATTTTATATAGGTTCATTTCATTTTAACCCTATGTAAATGGAGCGAAATAGAGGATATAATAATGCTGGTGCCCCCCCCCCCAAACTGCTCCTCAGACAGGATCACGACGCGTGCAGCCATAACTGTGACATATTTATTTATCAAAAAAATACGAATTTAACAAACCTAACTAGCGCAGACTCCTGCTGCTGACCACCACTGCCGTTACTGTGGTTGCGGCGGCGGCAGCTGCGGCTGCTGCTGCTGCTGCTGCTGCTGCTGCTGCTGCTGCTGCTGCTGCTGCTGCTGCTGCTGCTGCTGCTGCTGCTGCTGGCGGCGGCGGCGGCGGCGGAGACGGCGGCGGCGGCGGCGGAGACGGCGGCGGCGGCGGAGACGGCGGCGGCGGCGGAGACGGCGGCGGCGGCGGCGGCGACTGCTGCTGCTGCTGCTGCTGCTGCTGCTGCTGCTGCTGCTGCTGCTGCTGTTTACACCTCCACTTGTACGTCTTTTTGGCCTGAAATCAAACCGGCAGGGGTTAAGTATATTGTAGGAAAGAATAAACTTGCGTATGGAATAACTTTTCAAGGATTTTAGAAATCAGTGACAAGTTGGATATTGTGTGACGGGGAAGGTTCTGGGAGATGAAGGTGGTGTAGTAATACACTTGGGTATGGCTGGTAACACTTATAGGTGGCCCGGTGGTCTGGTGGCTAAAACTCCCGCTTCACACACGGAGGGCCCGGGTTCGATTCCCGGCGGGTGGAAATTCCGACACGTTTCCTTACACCTATTGTCCTGTTCACCTAGCAGCAAATAGGTACCTGGGTGTTAGTCGACTGGTGTGGGTCGCATCCTGGGGGACAAGATTAAGGACCCCAATGGAAATAAGTTAGACAGTCCTCGATGACGCACTGACTTTCTTGGGTTATCCTGGGTGGCTAACCCTCCGGGGTTAAAAATCCGAACGAAATCTTATCTTATTTGCAGTGAGGGAAAGGCCCAACCTGCCTGTTGTCTATCCGGGAACTGAGGGGGCAGGGCGACTGACGCTCACGTGTGGCAACGCGTGACGTTACATGCTAGCCCCTAGGCCCAGCAATGGATCGTCTATATATATATATATATATGTCGTGCCGAATAGGCAGAACTTGCGATCTTGGCTTAAATAGCAACGCTCATCTTGCCATATAGCACAAGTGAAAATTTGTGTATGCAATAATTTCGTCAAAATCATTCTGAACCTAACGAAAAAAATATATTTGATTGTGTTTGTTTAGTATTAAATTATTGTAAACGCATTTAAAATATTTTTTGTTGGGTTAGGCTAAAATAAATTGCTCTTGTTATAATAAGGTTAGGTAAGTTTTCTAAGATTCTTTTGGTGCAAAATT